TAGATCTCAAGTTTGATCCTACATTTTTGTCCAATGAGAAATGTACCTCTTAAATTTAAAGTTTTATTGAAGTTAATGCTAAGTTCACCGCGAAAGTTTTTATGTGTGTATAATTATACAAACCTGAATATGTTCTTGGAGACAATAGGAGGTTAGAACATGGATGCTAGCTCTCTTTTGTCAACGCAAATATCTGTCACTAGCGTTGTGAGAATGCACTCTTCGGCTAATGTGTTTTGTAGTATACGTCGAAAAAATATATATTGGATTTAAGTTAATTCTGTTATTATTGAAAACATATTTTATATACTAACAAATAGTAACAATTCAAGATCTACTTGAATGTAGCTCTTAGCCAATATTATACTGTACTGGAGATGATGCAACTCTTCACACTGACTAAGACCAGATTGAAGAGATTTTTCTGCTGTATAATTCCTGTCCCACGTGTTGAAAAATAAAACATTTTTTTGCTGGTGAAAAGCAACTTTCAACTAAAAAGTGCTACTCATACTTAAAATATATACTTATGCACCTTGATATATAGTAAGGTGTTCAAAATTTCCAAAATACGGAATATTTAACATAATAACATCTAGCAGTTTTGAATTTTGATTTTCAGCTTACTATACTTCTTCGTTTAATATGAAAAGCTTTTTTTTATCATTTAAGAACTTCTCAATGGATTACGGTAATATAAATAGTGTTGAGCATAATAGTTATTAAATTAGTTTCACATAACTACATTTGCTCTGAATTAATCTACGATGCTAAAGAATAAGTAATATGAAAACAGAATGTATTATATTTATAAATTATACTTTTCCTTAATTTTTAAGTTTCTTTTGCGCATCAACTATAGCTAAGTGTTTTAACGAATGGAAATTTTCCAACAACAAGTCAATTCTCTTTAAACTAATAGTATCTTACAAGTGTCAAGTATTTTCTACGAAAATTTATCTAAGTATGATGGATGGTTAATTTATACTTGAGTCAATTAAACTACTGATGTGTTCAAAAATAAGTTCCCTAGTGTAAATTAAACATCCTGATTAAATTCAATATTTGGATAGGTAGAACAAAGCCACGTCACCCAAAAGCATTTATGCTAATGACACATATTTCAGTGTTGAGAACAGATAACGCGTATGCATGTTACTAGACCGAAGTTTGCTCTAGGAGTCAGCGCCCTCTGTTCGTAAGAGTTGGGACATCTATTGTTATCCGTTTAGCTTACGTTTATTGGGCAATATTGATCACCTGATCAATTTCCGCCATTTTGGTTTTTAGTTTTGAAATTTGAGCTAATGATTATATAGCAATTACTGCTAAAAATACAGTATTTTGAGATAGTATTGCGTTTTTTATGGATAAGTGTGTAATAACTGATTTTTGACGGCTGCTTAATGTCATTACATATCGCCAGAATCGAGGATTACGAAAAAATGAAAGAAATGCCTTTACGTCGAACTTACGAAATTTGATTGCGTGTGGTGATTGTTGTGCTGAACTGCTTTTGATACAAGGTTCAATTAACTGACTCAAGCAGAGAATCATTTTTTGCGCCAAATAACATTGTAAAGTTCGTGCTAATGCAGTTTTAATAGTTTTCTTACTCCAAAGCTTGTTTTATAATCGAAAATGATTTCTCATTATGTTCAGAAATGGGTCAATTTACAAACCTCTCAATTCTCAGCCACTTCCACACTAAAACAAACATTTACACCAAATCTTAGAAACTCTTGTGATTTTCCATGTTGTATTTTGTATTTTTAGTTCATAATTCAAAAATGAAGTAATTATAATTATGATATTCACTGAAACAGCTGAGTACATATATTTTTGGTAATGAATTGTACAAATGAACCCTACTTCAGTAGCTCGAAGTAGAACATAACTTCTCTTATAGACTTGTCAATGATATCTTAATTGTAGGTATTGGTTTATAAGATCAGAGGCATATCTCCATAATTTCAGCTATTTGGGCATTTTAATGTATATAAAAACTGTTGCTGCCTTCCTCATATATATTAAAATATTGCTGCCTTTCTGATGTATACTAAATAGCTGCTAGCTTTTTGATATGTATATTTCACTGGCGATACAAGGCATAGAATTAGAACAAACGGAGCTGAGCCCCCTCCAACACACCCCTGTATGATCAATGACAGATACAAAATTTGTGTCATTCCTCAATCATTAAATCTAACTCTTTGCTAAATTAAAGATTGCATCAGACTCATATGCTATATAAAAGACTATAAACCGTAGCATTTATAGCTAACAGACTGTTCTTCAACAACAGAAATTTTTCATGTTATAGAAATAATATCTTCATTTTAAAGAAATGCTTCACCAAAATTTTCAGCAGAATCCTTAACAAACTTCATTAGAAATAAACTTCAATACTTTATAATGTGTTGAAGGCAAAATAACTTCGTATAAAGGAATAAAACGTTTAATGGCAAATGCATCTTGGGCAAATCATTGCATATTTCAATAACTAAAAAGTAAAAAACTCTGTCATTTTCTTCTGAGCAAGAAAATTTTGTGATCTTTCCGAATAAAAAATATCATGCTTGGATCAAATTGGAGGGCATAAACAACTCATTACCATTATATTGTTACAAATCTTGAACACAAATCTCTCAGGACCAAAACTGCATGATTACTATGATTCGAATTTTCGAAAAAAGTATTGTCCTACTATTTGACAACATTGATGCTAGGATAACATTGCCGCTTGTCACCAAGCTTAAAGATTTTAAAAACTTGTTACCGAGTCGGAAAATAAGCCGAGAAAAGACGTTCAAGTACGAAAAATACTTCTTACAATGGGTCACGATCAATTTGAAGCACGAACTAGTAAACCGCAAACGAAGGTCAAACCAATGATATTAAATCAGGTTTGCCGCAAATCGTTAAAAAACGCAAAGAATTTGGTATTATTCCTAATATATTAGATACTACATGGAATAAGCTTAAATTGCTTCCTTCTTTTGCATATAAACCCAGTTTCCAATAGTATTATTATAGTTTCACTTTGCAAGCTGGAACCAAAATGGCGGTTCCGCGCTCGCCCCAGACCGTTTGTCCCAACTCTTACGAATAGAGGGCTCTGCTAGGACTACATTCAAGTGTGCATGCATACATATAGAACTAAAGATTTTCTTATTTTACTAAAGATTTACTAAAGATTTTCTTATCAAATTAATTACTGGATTCAAAATTATTTGTTGATTTATATACTGTTAATGGAAATTTTTTCAAACCTGCAACTCGTAATTTTTTCGTGCAACCGCGTTTTATCCTGCGACCAAGGATCATTATAAACAGATTTGTTGAGAACTGACGTTAAAAAGATAGAACAAACTTGAAATAATCGAGTTACTTCGTGACAAAAATGCGATGATTTGTCGTTGCATGCAAATTATCTTTCCCTGTTGATTGCTTCCAACAGTATATATATAGAGGTTTAGTCTTGTTCTTCAGGCATACCACTCATTTGTTCATAGCTAAACGCTTGGTTTTTGTACGTTGGTAATCGTACTTTAAGTATATATACAGGTAAAATTAAAAGAAAAAATTAGTGTTTGCGTTTCTAAGCGTATTATTTACAAATGCCGGTGCTGGGAAGCTTTGAACTTCCATCTCTTATAAACAAAAAATTTGACCATGGTTTGCCTACTTTCAGCTGAAGTTTGGTGCAAAATATGCTTGAGATTGGTAGTGGTAGTAATAGATCTATACACCGAGGAATGTACAATGCAGATAAAACTCCTATCATTAAGAAGCTTATAGGAGTTAATGTTCAATTGCCAAGGATAGATTCCTTAGAGAAGCAAAACTACAATTTCAAATGAAGCACCATCATATACCTGAATTTTTGGGATTTAACGAAAGTCCGTACTCAATGATGATGGTATATATGCTATTCGATTATCACCCCTTCGGAACGGAGAAAATATTTATTAATATAGTTGAATTCAATAGAGCAAAAGGTAGGCCAGGTATAACTATTAGAAAGAGATCAAAAACTTATCATAAACGGAACAGAGCTTAAACATGGTCCAATATACAAAGCCGGGGAAATGCTGCAGCTTGTCTTTAGAAAAGTTCATTATTTCAATGAAACTCCAGACGTCAGGAAAATAAAAAATTTTTTCATACAATAAAGCTATATTATAATGTCGAAGCCAAATTACTAACCAATAACAAATTATTGAGTTTGTTTGCTCACTGAAACAAATCTATCATTATTAAAGTTATTACAAAATCAAAAAATTTAGAAAATCACAGAATTGAAATTTTTCCATTGAACGTACTAAAAAACAAAATTAACTGCACTATAAAAAATAGACATGTTTCGACATCTCATGATGCCATCTTCATTATCAGTGATTAATTGCATAAATAATACAAAGTTTACATAAAAATAACATGATAAAGTAACATAAATATATAGATATGTATAAATTATAACTATAATAAGGAAAAGAGATAAATAAATTGGGAGCGTGTTACAAACTAAATATTGTGTTGAACATTGAGGTCAGAGTTAGTTTTGCTAATGTGGAGTGCTTCTTTGGTATTAAGAAAGAATGATCAAGGTGTCTGCGGTGTCTATGATTTTGAAGCATAAGGGAAATAGTTTGTTTTAAATGAATGAAATTTAAGAGGTTGTCGGTAGATATGATTTTGTCTGTTGTGGTATGTTCCCTGATTCTGGTGAATAAATGTCTCAAAGTTTCGCCAATCTATACGGATTACATCCCACCTTATTGACCAACTATTCATATACCACCATTTATTTAATTGACAAACCAAGTCATTTTCAGTGACTATTGCAGTCCTACATGCGTGATAGGAAATTTACGTAAAAAGCTTGAACTTCTCATTATTAAAAACAACGCAAAGATATTGAGCAAATTGATCTGTCAAATTGTTATGACGAATATTCAATTTTAACAGTTTACAATTTTCATTTTTTAAAGCTTCACTAAGATATTTTGCTCCTTTATCTTGAAGTGAATTTACACTAATGCACAACTCAATTAATTTACAATTTTCACTTTGCAACGCTTCACTAAGATATTTTGCACCATTATCAGCTATGTTGTTCTCACTAATATACAAGTCTGTTAGTTGGCAATTTGCACTTTTTAAAGCTTTACAAAGATGCTTGACACCTTCGCTGGTTATTTTGTTTTTACTGAGAAACAATTTGGTAAGTTTACATTTCCCACTTTCTAAAGCTATTCCAAGTTCTTCTACAACCTGATCTGACAATTTGCTATCACATATATGCAATTCAGTTAGATTACAATTGTCATTTTTAATGGCTTGAAAAATATCTTTTGCACCTTTATCTGTTAGTTTGTTGTTACTTATATCTAATTTATTAAGTTTACAATGTTTTGTTTTTAAGGCTTCACTCACATACTTTGCACCTTCATCTGTTACTTCGTTATCACTTATATTTAATGTATTAAGTTTACATAGATCACTTTTCAAAGCTTTACTAAGATCTTTCAAGCCTTGATCAGTTAGCTCGTTATCATAAATAATTAATTTAACTAGCTTACAGTTCTCGTTTATCAAAGCTTCGCTAATATATTTTGCACATTCATCTGTTAGTTTGTCACCATTTATGCACAATTCAGTAAGCTTACACTTCTCACTCTTCAAAGCTTCACTAAGATACTTCCAAAAATGATAATTAAGCTTACACGATAAAAACTGTAAAGAAATTAAGTCACTGGCTATCATGTTTGACAAAAAAAGCTTCATTCTAAGACAGCTATGATTATCAAGGAACTTGCAAAAACTAAACCTGAGTTTAGTTATGTGTATGCATTCTGATAAAAATTCAAAAAGTGAGTTAGAATCAACAGGTGTAAATGAAACATTAGCAATAGTTATTCTTCTACAACTACTTGACACGGCACTCTCTAGTGCCTTGCAAGCTGATTTAATTATATTTCTGTCTTGCAGCTCGTACAAGCACTTGACACCTAGTAAACCGAGTGTTTGATTTCTTTCGTTAAGAGTCAGCTGAGTGATCCACGTTTTAAGTCTACAAACGTAAAAAATATGTAAAAAATTTCTTTTAAAGTGCTCTTGAAAAAATTTCCTTGCCAACTGAACTTTTTATGGCAATTGAAAAGCAATTGAAAAGCAAATGAAAAACTATGTATTTTTTAAAGCAATGTGCAAAAAATGTTGATTATTGTAGACAGCATAATTAATCGCTCATGAAAGAAATCTTTAATTCAAAATCATACCTTTCTTCAACATCATTTACAGCTTGGATATCCATGATGTTTCCTTTTCTCTTAACGTCCCCCATTAAACCAGCAATAAACTCTATCACTAGATGCCACTTAGGATCTTTAACATGATCGTCCAAAAACTTTCCAACGTTTTGCAAGTCACCAATAATAAACCAGGCAGCCAAAAATTCTTGAAGTGTCAAATGTAAAAAACAGTAAAGATCACGTCGTTTATCTGGTATCTGATGAAATAGGCCACAGTTGGCCAAGTTAGGAAACTCAGCTAGACTAGGTTCATCAAAAATCAATTTCCCTGCGTCAATTCCTTTTTTTGCTAGGCTTTTCATTTTTTGTATGTCCTCCCCAAGTTCTTTAGGTAAATCTTTGATAAGATAACCTCTGTTAGGTTTGGGGATGAATCCAGCTTTACAACGCGGATGGTGACGCCATAGTAAGATTTTCACTGCTCTTTTGTACAATTCAGTGGTAGTTTTTGGAATATCCTTTGAGTTATTGATAAAACATTCTTTCAACGTTAGACAGATGATGTAAGTGTTGACAGGAATATAACACAAACTACGCAGTTCGTGAGAACTTTTGATATAATTTAAAATCAGCTCCATAGTGTTTTTATCTTCTCCACAAAACCTGTCGACGTATTCGATAATTTGGTCCTCGAAAAAACCCAAGATCTCTACAGTTCTGTCAAACTTTAAAGACTTAAATGCAAATTCAGCTGTGGGTCGTGATGTTATTAGAACTGTGGCATTACGGAGCAATATATTTTCGACTAGCATACTTAACAAGGTAAATGCTGGCAATTTTGCATCAGCACACACTGAGCCATCAGTTCTAAGACGTTCATTGTTCAGAGGGAGCTCATCAAGCCCGTCAAAAATAAGAATAATTCTATCAGGATTTGACTGAATAAAATCATAGATTTGTGCAAACTGTTCATTCGACAATCCATCACAATTACTCAGCATATCTTTGATAGTAATAAGATTATCGTATGCAATTGTACGACAACGAATTAGAAGCGCGAGTTTATCATTCCAAAATTCATCTGAACTCTTTTTCCATTCATATATAAGTTTTTTTGCCAACATAGTTTTACCAATTCCTGGCCTTCCAATAACCAAAATAGATCGCGGAAACGATTGCTCTGTTTTTTTCCAACTTGGTTTGAAAATTTCTGTCACTTTCGTCAGTTTTTTAGCATCTTCGTGAATTTTAAGATGACAATTAAATATTTCGTGCCTCTTGAATGTTTCTGGATAAGCATTTTCTAGCTGTCTTTCAGCTTGCATTATAACGTTGACATATATGTCATCGAACTTTCTCCAATAGTTTTCATCATCACCATAGTCGTCGCGTATTTCAAATATTCTGTACGTGTAAAAATCATTTTTGATCTTTTCCAACCATTTTCTAATAACTTCACGTTTTTTCATTAAGTAAACAGTACAAAATTCTCTGTCTTTTGTAAATGAATTGTCACTGAAAGAAGCATACGCCAGGTAACATAACTCTACAGTTGTTATTGTCATGACAATGACATCAACAGATGCAATAACCAGGACTAAATTTTCACTTTTACCACCGTTAGAATTTGTGCAACTAAGTGTTGTTACGTTGTATGAAGTGGGAAGACTGGGAGGCCAATAACAAGAGTATTCGATGGGATATTTACTTGAGAAAAATATAACAGCAAATATAGACAACAAAACAAGACGAGCAATCAAATAAGCGATGTAAAAGAAAAACATGAAAGCACAGCCATTACAAACATCAGACATAGAATCATGATGGTAATATTTTGAGAGTAGATATTCATTATATTCATTGCTGTTCCTTTTTGGATTGAACCCATCATATTTTTTAATTCGACGCTTTACTAAATATCCATAGACAAGACTCAGCATTAAGACAGTGCCAAAATTCAAACAGACTACAGGGATAATAGGATAGTTAAAAGTTGATTCCTTTTTGTACTGTATCAAGCAAGTCGATTCAACCTTCTTTAAAAGAGAAAATTCTTTAGTCTCTGATATTATCTCGTTGTAACAAATGAATAAAGTGTCTCCATGTAAATTAATTGAAATACCAACACCAACGGCACCAAACATACCAAACAAACTAAGTACTATTCTTTCAAACAAGGGAAAACTCTTCCATGGTATATATTCAAGACATTTTTCCATTTTCGTATCCTTTGAAATAATGAAAACGATGTTCCCAAAAAAAATTTGAAAAAGATATCGATTGGTCGTGGGACAGCTTTGTTCTTTAACGTTCAAGTTTCAACTGCATTTAACTTCTTTGAAAAACCACCTATTCATATACAATAGTTTTTTAAAAAAATAAACATTATCCACAATCCCATCAAGAGTCTATCGTATATGTGTTAGCATCATAATGTGAGCTTATCTAGTATGCATAAAACGGTGTAATCTGTTAATAAACTAATTTGCACGGCTTAGCCCTGCTTTTCAGTGCTGGGTGACTACAAATTTATGGTGTAATATTTAACATGCCTTCGAGTGCAATTAAGACAATAGAGGGCTTAAGAAACTACGTTTTATCCGACAACGGCGTCGTGAGACATCGCGGAAGACTTGGACGAATATGACGTTCCCGCGTGTATTTAAAAAAGTTAAGCAAAATTCGTTATAGAAAGCAGTGATAGAAAGTGAACTCTTTTTAGACAGTTTAGAAAAGTAAATTGGAAAGCACAAATTACAAAGAATATAATGTACTTGTTTCTATACAAAATATGGTTTATTACAATAACGGAAAACTACTAAGAACTTTAAAAAAATATTTTCAAGATTACATATAAGTAACTCTTGCAAATAGTTATTAAATTACACACACTGGAGTTCAAATCTGGTCCAAGTCACATGTTTTTATGTGGATATAAAGACCACGTTAGGATAAATATTAAATACACTCGAGATTGATATTTACTAATGACAGAAAGAATTTGACAGCGTATCTTAACATTACTTTTACTTGACATTTAATCATCGCTTGGCAATACGAAGCATGTATTAGTTTAATTAATCAACTATATATCACATGTGTTAAAACTTTTGTGGCATTTGCTAACAATAAATTTGCTTCTCTTACTGGCGTTCAATCATCAGATATCACTACATCAGCATACGTGGCTTCTATGTCAGATAAATCAATCGGACGGCGTTCTTGATGAAAACATCGGACAAATTCTACCTTGACGGATTTAAACTTTATATTGCTAAGCGATGTTCAAATGTCAAGTAAAAGTAATATTAAGATACGCTCCCTAATTCTTCCTGTCATTAGTAAATAACAAACTCGAGTGTATGTAATATTAATCCTAACACGATCTTCGTATGCACATAAAAAACTTGTGACTTGGACGAGATTTGAACTCGAGTGTATGTAATTTAATGACTATTTTCAAGAGTTACTTCTGTGTAATTATATTCTTTGTAATTTGTGCTTTTCACAGCTCATCAAGAAAAGGAAGTTTCCATTCGTGAGAAAGTATAAGATATAATCTATTCAGTTTGCAGACTATAAATAAGTAACAGAGGCTGTAATGTTTATTCAACACGCGTCGAAAGAGTAAAAGTAGTAAATCAAGTTTGGATATTTTGGTAGAGTACGCATCTAGAAGTATCTAGTTGTTACGCTGGTCGGGCTCAGCCTGACAAAAAATTCAATTCCATCAGAAGAAAAAATTTGCTCGACTAAAAATTTAAAACAATTGAGTTTGAATTTCAAAACAGCTTAAATCAATTTATTGGGGATGGTTAGAGGATGATCCAAATCTTTAAATAGTGATTTTGGTTAAATTAGGCTCAAAATGTGCATTTAGTGAGCAGTTACGTACAGGGGCGAATCTAGAATTTTTCAAACATCAGTCATAAAACGTCGGAGGCGCTTGGCACCTGGGGGGGTGTGAGGCATTCTTCCCCTGAGAAAGTTTGAATTTCAGAGCCTTGAAAATGCCATTTTCACCGTTTTAGAGCAACACAAAATGTACTTTGTGGGCATCGTTTTTGCGTAAAAACAACACATTTTGCTTACGTTTTTTCCAAAAAAAAAATGAAGTGAACAATACTTGAATGTTTTGCCAAATAGTTAGGCTCATTATCATGCCAAATATATGGCTCATTAGCATGTCTAGGAACGTAAAATTTATTTTACAATAATGCTATTCAAAAACAGATATAGTCTTTAAAAATTTCTACCCAGTTGTCAGGCATAGACCCCCCTAGAGACCCCCATTCAAACCTCTATGTATTGAGTTAAGTTAGAAATTTGGTACTACAAAAGACAGTTCATAGATATAGAAAAGCTCAGACTTTATACCATGCAAGTTTATTGTAGCCCTTTATCCATCTCCACATCAGTGCCAGCAAATTCACTTTTTAAGAAAAAAATCAAATTTTTTTTCTGCCAAAGATTAAGATAAAATTATCAGAGTGAAAATTTGCAGTTAAGGACAGCTTAATGCCGTAAATTTTTATTAGGCATTTCACTAGACTATTATCTTCTGTAAGTATATGCAAGATGTGCTATATAGCAATCACTAGTAGCATTGTATTTGCAAATACAAAACAGAATGTACCAACATGTCTTTAATTATATAATTACATGAATGTTAAAATTGGTTCGTGTGTCATGCTTACTGTTTATTTTTCATACGATCAAAGCTCGTTTAAATGTAAATCTGAAATAATTTAGTTTAGAAATTATAATGATCATCAGAAAAATTACCTAGTGATCATAAAAATACTTTAAATGAGATATGATCTTCGCACTTAGCTGGACAATTTAAGCAATCGTCTCAGGACCTGAAAAAATCAGGTGACTCATCCCGTTGAGTCACCTGATTTTCAATCCTGAACATTCTCCAATAAATCTGAATCATATCTCATTAAATTTCAAACACCGCACTGCATAAAACATTCATAAAAATACTTTGCTGTTTTACCAAATTTCAAGGTTTATCTGCATACATAGAATGACATTTTTACTTTATAGAAAATGCTTTTCATACATCAATAGCCCTTTGGAATTTATGGCAAACAATCTGGTATGAGCCGGAGATTAACACACCTTTACATCTCAACGTGAGGTGTTCAGTTAGAAAAGTGGACAATATTTGACATGGGACAACATTTCATGTATGTGAAATACTCGGGTTTAATAACATTCCAGTCAAATTGTCAAAATAAAAAGCTTCATGGATCAGAAGACTCAAAATGACAGGTTATAGCAAACAGCTTCTCATGTGATCAATGTTGGTTTTCTCAAATCTTAAACAATATGTAGTATAACTGTCCAATGATTGAATGATCAATGATCATAAACTGAAAAGCCCCAAACATTTGTTTATGATAAAGTAAATAATAGTATGGCGCCTTTTGGCTACAGATTTTTTTCCATTGAAATATATTTGCAGGAATGTAGGATTTCGTTGCCATATAACGGTCACGATTCCCCAAGCACTAAAGAAATCGTAGCTAAAAGTCCTTCGTCAACAACAATTTTAGAGCATCAATCTGCTTACCATACGCCATATTGACATAAATCGCATCACACACTCGCACAAATTGACTTTGATATATTACATTCATGCATACACTTCACTTGTCCTTTACTTACGATTTTGGATGTAAATTTCTGTTGATCAAACTCAAAACAATGTTAGCTTTCTTTTGAACATCAATGACTGAAATGTCGCTCGCGAGATCGTTTTTGGCAAGCATTTATAATTTATCCATAACTTTTTCACCCTCTTGAAAAATTTCACAGTTTGGACAGCAGCATTCATGTCAATATATGAATTTGTTAAAGATTTCCATAAATTCCATCTGATTGTAGTTTAGTTTCTATCATGCTTATAAAAATTACTATGAAACAATCAAACATTCAATTCAGACAGTGAGCTTGACTATGTTAGTTCAGTTGGCTATCAGTCGAAATCCGTCAAACCAATCACAATAAAACAAAATTCAAATGAACCAATTGTAAGATAGCAATTGGACTCCTTTATACGTCCGGCCACCCCTCTTCTCAGTCGAGACCATTCCAGACTGTCCACTGATCTGGCTATTGACCAATAAAATAAGCGTTTTTGACGGTCATAGACTCATTTATCCGTCGAACCAGTCAAGCCACCCCGCTTATCGGTCGGTTGTTCCAGGTCAATTAAAATTCAACTGATCTGGTTACCAACGAGATATTCATTGGATTAGTCATTAGTTTTCAATAATAAATAAAGCTGGATTTTTATCACGAAGTAAATGCGACAATAAAGTAAGAATAATTAATGAATTATTAATTAATATGAATAGGTAATTTTTGAATTTCAAACAAAAGTTGCGTGACAGATTTGACATACTCTAGATCCGCCCCTGGTTACGTAGCAACAGTGTGCCGTTCCATGCTTTTCGCAGCTTGTCGGGCTCTCAAAATTCAGCCCGACCATACTATACATTTTATAGAAAAATTAATCCTAATATAATTGGCTAATGTCAGTTAAGCATGCTCAAACTCGCAGATTTAGATCATCTATTTGCGCTCGTTTTATAAAGCCCGACTGGAGCCTTCAAGTTAAGAATCGGCACAAACTAAGTATATTTAGCATGTTTGCAACGGATTCACAGACCCACGCTAGTATTTTACTTACGTTTACAGATGTTGAGGTGAGATTTACAGCTATGGCTTCCTGAAAGACGATCTTTTCTCCATTCGACAAGCTCACGAACAATGAATTATTTAAAGCCCAAACATATTGGTGATATATACATAGTTCTATATTAGCAAGAACTCCTTGCATTTGCTGTTATTTTTTGCGAAGAAAGATAAACTCTATTGTACTTTTCATAGCAGGCTATGTTTTATTACCGCGTTTCGAGTATTTGTGGTACTTCAACATAATGGACGCAGACACTCTCAGATTAGAAAAGCATGACATTGCAACATTGCATGAAGTCTGAATCCACATTTCTCTTTAAGTTAAAGACTTTTGCAATGAATATTTATGGTATTGCACCTTGTGTACATTTCTTTTACAATTTAGGCAGGCTTTTTGCATATTCAAGCGTATAATGAAGGGGTATAGGTAAACTATAAAAATGCCGATTGAAATTTATTGTCTGGTCAATAGTTTGCATACAAAGTGCATAATGAGTTTTATGACAGT